ACGAACTCTCGCTGTTCTCTCTCTGTCTGTACCGCCTGAGAGATATGGCAAACCGCTGTGCCCTCATCTTGTGTTGCCGCCTGATGTTTGGACGGCCTTTGGGGGGGGGGCTGCAACCGTGCACGCAGACCGCTCTACACTTCATTCGGTACCCTCCAACAGTTTCCCTCCAATCGGTACCCTCATCTTGTGTTGCCGTCTCATGCCTGGACCACCTTCTTCGTCGTGACTGAAACCGCGAACCCCGCGCGCGCAGACCGAGCCGAGATGCACAGCTTCCAGCAGGAGAAGGCCCAGCTCCTCTCCGCCGCCCGCGCGAACGGGGACACGGAGAAGCGCAAGATGCTGGAAGAGACCACCCCGGATGTGCTTAACGCTAAGGGGCTCTTGATGTTCCTGCGGCAATCGCCCTCCTCGGAGACGCCCTCTCCGTCCGCTAGCCCGGAGCTTCAGCCTGCCACTGGAGCGGCGGCAGCGGCGGCGACGGCGGCGGGGGGGGAGGGACTGGTGCTCGAAGGCGACGGCAGGAGGAGCTCGAGCCCGGGAGGGGATGATGATGAGAGGGCGGGCGGCGACGGCCATGGTGGTGGTGGACACCACGACGGCGGCAGGGCGGGGAAGGCCGCGGTGGAGTTCTCCGGGGGAGGCGTGTGCGCGGCGAAGGGGCCGTTGACGGCGGAGGAGGACGCGGCGGCAGTGGCCCCAGCGCGGGCGGGTTTCGCGGCGGCGGCGGCGGCGGCGGCGGCGGCACCAGAAAGAACAGTGCGGCCACCCACGCGGCCCTTCGCGGGGCCGTGCCTAGCGAACGGAGACGGCGGTGGCAGGGAGCGGGGTCTTAGGGGTAACCGTGAAGGCGGAGAGCAGGACGGCGGGCGCTGCGGTTCCTACCGCGCGCCTTCTTCGCCGGTCAATGTTGTCGATTTTTTGCCGTCGCGGCCGTGGAGTGGTGGTGGTGGAGGTGTCGGTGCTGTCATCGGTGTGCGCCGGGGTGCTAGCTCGACCGCCGTGCCGGTGTCGCCGGCCACACCCGCCGGCCGTTCGGTGTTTGGTGATGTCGGAGGCGGCCGTCCCGCGGTGCCCGCTCCCGGTACGGCGATGGCTGCCCCAAGAACCGCGCCGAAGCCTAGGAAGCCGCGGTTTAGGATCCCTGTGGTGACGCCGAGCCCGTCTTCGACGGCCAACGCTAGCAGCCAGCCCCGCCGGGCTCCCCTCGCCGTTCATCATGCAACGCCGCCGACTCCGAGGTCATCGGGCCCTAACACAACGGCGGCGCCTTATTCGATCGGCGGCGCTTCGGCGGCGGTGGCACCGCAGCAAGTAGCCGTGACTCCGGGGACACCGTCGGCGAGGCGGTCACCTGTGGAGCTGTTTACGCCGTCGCCGGTGCCGTCGTCATCGGCGGCGGCGGCGGCGGCGGCGGCGGGCCGCGGCGGGCGGCGCGTCACCGGTAGTGGCGCTGCTGATTCTCCTACCCCTCCCGCAGATTTCGACGGCCGCCGGTGTAGATCGCCGAAACGCACGGGTATACCCCCCGAGGCAAACGCTGGGCGAAACGGCGGCAGTCGCGCCGCGCCGTCCAAGCGCAAGCAGGGAGAGGAGGGGAAGAAGGTAGAAGAGGCGCAGAAGCGGCCGAGAGCTTCCGCCGTTCAATAGAGCAACTTCCTTGTTAACTCTCTCTCGCCCGCTCACCCAGCCCCGTCGAGTATGAGTCTACCACGCAGCAGCCGGGGCGGGAATAACGGGGGGAGGGGGGTTGGGGTGGTGGGCGGCGGACCGGCGGGGCCCCCTCTTGGTGCCGACGTTAATTCGGTCGGAACGGTGATGGGGTTTTAGCATAAGAGTCAAGCCGGCTGTAGGTTGGATGAAAGTTGAGAGAGGAAGACCAATGTTTACATTCCGCGT